GCGCGCAGCTCGGCCAGCACTGCGCCCACCCCCAGGCTTCGCTGTGCAGGCTCGTGACGCGCGCACATGCTCATATTTGAAAATTCCCCTGTTGGCCTGCAAAATCTTCTCTCCCCAACGCGATCACCAGTTTCTCGCTACACCAGAAAGCAGATCTGCGATGTATTTTTCAAGCCAATCCGTGACGAGAATGACGACTGTATGGGTTTCTATCGATGTCGCTGCGGCGTACAGCGGAAACAGGACGCCAAACGTGGCTACACGAACCTAATCAACCACATTTATAGTCAACATCCTGATTATGAAACTACTCTAGACAGTTTTCAAGGCGGCAACAATGGCACACTCTTGTCGTTCGTAGACAAAAAGAGCGCCAATATATTTGGATGGCTAGAGTGGATTGTTGATGCTAACTTGCCGCTCTCATTCTGCGAGAACAGCCTAACGCGACGCTACACGACCCTCAAGCCCATATGTGATGATACCTTGGTCCACTACATGGCAGCTGTTTGCCAGGAAGTGCTGCGCACGTTCAGCGAATTTCTCCCTGAAAGATTTGGTATCGTATTTGACGGGTGGTCTTTCAAAAGTGAACATTACGTGGGGGTCTTTGCCGCTTTTGGTCATGATGGTAAGCGGGAGACTGTACTATTGGCGATGGCGCCTCTACTAGACAAGGAAGACTGCAACAACCATCCCCATCACGATGCTGATGCACATGTTGCGTTCCTCAAGACGATTTTAAAGCCGTTGAAGCGGCGCATCGAATGTGTCCGCTTCCTGGTCGGCGACAACTGTTCCGTCAATGGAAGCATCGCGTCAAAGCTGGGGATTCCGTTGGTCGGCTGTGCCAGCCATCGACTAAATCTCGCTATGACCCAGTATCTGGACGAGTATGAAGACATTCTGGAGAAAATCAACGATCTTATGAAGTTCCTGCGTGGTCTCAATCAGTCGGCAAAGTTAAGGTAAGCCGTATCTGAGTTTTATTCTATATCCGAGTTTTATTTAATTTTTTTTTATGCGGACTACATAGACACAAAACACCACTCCGGCCAGTTATTCGGCAAAAGACTCGATGGTCCTCCACGTTTTCCATGGTGGAACGCTACTTCAAGCTCAAGCCCTTCCTGGACTCCGCGGATGACGACTTAGCAGCGTACATGCCATCCCCACTGGAAGAGAGGCAGCTGCGTTCAACGCTTGACGATCTGAAGGATTTTGAGTCGGTAAGCAAGAAGCTCCAGGAGGAAGGTAACTTAACGCTGGCAGATGTTCGTGCTTTGTTTGACAGCCTCATGGAAAAAGCACCATCCCTAGGGAGCTATCTGGCTCCACAGGCTCCCATAGTCAAGTTCCCGATATTCGAGATGGCGTGCGTACAAGTTCTGAACGGAGAGACTCGGCTTTTGACGCGAAACTCTGTCGCGGCTCTAGCTCAATTTGCTGCTCCAGCCTTAATCCAACCTCAGCATGCCGCAGCCAACAAGGAAAATAAAAAGCTCAGCTTTGCTGAGCAAGCACTTAAGAAGCGGAAGGTGGATGCGCAACAGCAACCGAGGTAGGAGCTTTTTAAATGTCGTTGTCATGTCAATTTGACCAATTCCTTTTGTATATGAACAGATACGAGTTGGTGCAATACATTCCACCGACGTCTAATATTGCCGAACGTTTTTTTAGCCAAGCTGGAATCGTGTTGTCTCCTCAGCGGCAAGCCATGGCGCCGGCCCAACTGGAAAACATCCTATTTCTCAAGACAAATCGCCGATATTGGAACGTGGCAATGGTGCAGATGGTTGGTAAGCAGAATTGAATTTGAGGTATGCATAATGTATTTCATCTTTGTCAAGGGTGCAATAATGTATTTCATGTCGGCTCTACCATGCTCACCATTATATATTTCATCAGTTGTTTACCATATAATTGCAATACTATTCTAGGAAACCCTGGACACCACCAGGCTCTGCAGGGCCTCCATCCCGAAGATGCCTGCCATCTTCCGAACCGACTCGAACTGAAAGTCGTTCAAATGGGAGAAGTCGTTCCTATCCATGGCAACGAACTTCGGAGAGGTTCAGGTAGTCTACCCGCGGTGGCGTGGATTGACTACTAGTGCTACCAAGTGTGACGGGGTCACACAGCACCTTGCGCTAGAGGAAGTTATCTTCCGAGAGTATACAAACTCTCAGTGAACGGCAGTTCACAGGTCCCCTCTTTAATTAAAGAGAGCGAAGTGACCTAAATAAGGTAGATTGTAAACTGAGTATATTTATAGGTAGGTTAAGTTTGGGTTTAATACAAACTATTAGTTACCTATAGAAATGCAATGTCATTTAACCAATGGTTGGCTTTGAACGACCTTGGTACCTTGTACCAAATATCCCGGAGTATGACGTGTCATACTCCTGAAGTGTGGAGTGTCACACTTCATGTAGCCAGGGTACACTTAGGGCTAC